AAATTCTCCATTAAAATGCTATAACATTTAACATTCTGCTCAGTAACACACTGAAGACTCCCCACAGATTAGCCAGCAGAGGTGATGGGCAAATTTCTGAAATGTTGTCATCTAATATGTAATAAATGAGAATTCACTGTAAGAGTAATTAGTATTTCTCATGACGATGTTTCAACTATTTTCAATAATTTACATACCATGTACACTGGTTTTCTCTCTGCATCATCTGTGTATTCTCATCTATGTATCAACTTAAATCTGCCTTCTCTATTTCTAAAAGCTCTCTCCCATGTAATATTTGGAGTTTTATAGTCTTTATACTACCCTCACTTTCATATTTGCTCTTTCTCCACCTCATCTTTCTCTTGGATTGCTTTCTTATGTCTTTATTCTTTATGCCGTCATTCAAGTTTTTACCTCCACAGTAAATTTATTATTCTCATTAGCACATGTTGAGTTTGAGCACAGTCAGAAAATTGTTCACACATGTTTTCTGCCTGCAATGCCTGGCTTCAATATGTACATGTTGATTTCTGATCTTGAGATTTGTTCTGGTGTATTCTGTGAAACATGCACAGTTTTTACTTTTCTTCATGGTCATTCTAGGCCCTACTCATTCATGTTCACTGCCCTTGCCATTGAGGGCTGTCTGTACTGTACTCCATATTTTCTGTACAACTGGCTTGAAGTTTTCCTACTGCTTCACTGTACTGGCTGCTATAATTCTCTTTAAGGCTTCAAAATATACTTGAAAAATCAGTAAGGCTTTCAATTTCTCTGGCTTTCAGGTTTTCTTAGATCTTCTTGTTTGTTAATTTTTCCAACTAAACTTTACAAACAACTTAATTTGTTCTAAAACAAAACCTAACTGAAACAATGGTACCAAATCTACCTGTCCAAGAGTGTGGCCTCTGATTCCACAAACAGATATATTGCTATATATATTTGCAGGATTTAATTTTTTAAAGTGCTTTGTATATTTTCTATGAAGTTTTTGCCTAGAATCTGTCATCTGTGAGTCACCCATCCATCTATCTATATATCCATCTACCCACCCATTTATCCATTCATCCACCTGTCTATCTATTCAGCTAGCCAGCCAGCTGTGCACATCATAGCTATGTTCTTATGTTCCTAAGTACATAAAAAAGATCATGCAAATTAGCAATGCTTACTAAAAAATTAAGCTACCACTCATTAATGCATAAGTTACTGCCTGGTTACATAATAGCCTCAAATATGTGAGATGCCAAGCCCTTGGATATAATAAGTTTCCTACTTAAACATAAGCAGTTTGTTTATTGAATGTGTGAAATATTAAAAGATATTTTTCAACATCTTATGGATAAAACAGGCTGATGAAAGACAAGCCTGAAAGACTAATGAGTTTATGGCCATCAAAAATCATTCTCTGTTGATTTAAGTCTGTTTAATAGCAAAACAAACATGATGCCTGGCTGATTAGTTCTGGTAGGAACTTAGTTAAGATTGCAACAGAAGAAGTTTCCTTAAATTCATTACATAATTCTATTCTGTCCAATGTGATTTATATGGGAAAGGGCATGAGCAAGTGTTCCTGTTTACCTGGGTTCAGGTTGGCTTCTGGAATTGCATTAAATGCTCAAAATCGCAAACATTCTTACTCACCAAAAACAGGTGACTACAACGAAGGCAGAAGCCTCGTTTCTACAGTGCAATAAATAAGGACATTGCAAGGAGGAAACACGTTCAGAGCATTAAACGTGGGCATTCAAGTCCTACAGAAAATCAGTGCATCTCAGCACAGCTGTGATTGGAGGCAAAGGTGATGTAATTACCACGGGTACATACTTATTTACTTCCTTAAATTTTAAAATGTAATTGGGTTTTGGTAACTAAGGTAAATTTGACTTTTTCTTAGGCCAACAATAAGGACTCGTTATACCAATTAACTTAGATAACAGGCATTTAAAACAGATTCAGTGAGCTAACATTCATTAACCCCAGACCTTGACAAAAAATAAGCTCAAGGCTTTTCTCAAATAAAATTTCACATTGACAAATTCAGTTCACAAAAGATAGATTTGCACTTCATGGAAATACAAATCATTAAGAATTTGTTTGCAGAGGCTGGAGATATGGCTCAGTGGTTAAGAGCACTGGCTGCTCTTCCAGAGGGCTCAGGTTCAATTTCCAGTACCTACATGGCAGCTCAAAGCTGTCTGTAATTCCAGTTCCAGGAGATCTAACACCATCACACCAATGCACATAAAATTAAATAAATTATATTTTTTAAAGAATTTGTTTGCAAAACTTAGGAGAAAGTACGACTATTATAAAGACTTTGCATCTCACAAATATAAGGTTTAGAAACTACCCATTAACAACAACAACAAAAAATAATGTGATGAGTATTTGACAAATGCTGACATAATTTTTTTCTTCCTTTATACCTCTCAAAAGTCAGCCATTCCAGTGTGACTACAAATGTTATAGCTCTCAAATTTTGGCCATAAACAAATTTGGAAGATAATTTGTTTAGTTTTGATCATACCTCATGCTTTGGGTTGTGTTGTCTGGAAAGACATCAAAGAAAGAAAAGGTGCTGATGTGGCTGGATTGCTCCACTCTTACAGACAATTCATAGAAAATGTCGCTCAGTTTACATCAGGAAATGTGGAAAGATATACTGAATTAATATGAAGTCTTTTCTGGATCATGGAATATGTCAAAGACCATTCATCTTTCATTTTATTAAGAAATATCTTTGCAAGAAAAATTTACTTCCCATATTTAATAAAACATTAGATGGCCATTTCTGTATCACACTATATTTCAAGTTGTTATAAAATATTTTCAAGTATCAAACACATATTGGACAGAACAAAATTTGATGTGAAACTAGGAGTGACAATACAAAACTATTAATGATGTAGAAAGTTTGTCCAAGTAATATGTGTGTGCATGTGTGTAGAAGACAATGAATGTGCCGAGCAGAAGCCAGAAGGGTGCACTGGCTGTCCTACTCTGTCACCTACCACCTTATTCCTTTGAGGCAGGCTCTCTCACTGAACCTGGAGATTGTCACTTCAGCTAGACTGGCTGACCACTGAGCTCACAGGATCTATACGTTTCTATCTACTACACAAAGGGGTTATGGTGCATAAAGGAGCCTGACTTATCTTTATATACAAATCTGACATGTGGATGCCTGGCACTCAGCCATTTCCATACAATCTGTGTGGATAGATTTTAGAGGTAAATACCTGACTTTTACTAAAAATATTCAAAATATAAGTACTTATATAATACAACGAATTATACTGTTTCATTTACTTAAAATTTTATAGAGACACTTTCTACATCCTCTCCAGCATGTGTTGTCACTTGAGTTTTTGATCTTAGCCATTCTGATGGTGTGAGGTGGAATCCCAGAGTTGTTTTGGTTTGCATTTCCCTGATGACTAAGGACATTGAACATTTAAATGTTTCTCCACCATTCAATATTCCTGTGTTGAGAATTTTCTGTTTAGCTCTGTACCCCATTTTTATTTGGATTATTTGATTTGTTGGTGTTTAATTTCTTGAGTTCTTCATATATTCTGTATATTAGCCTTCTATTAGATGTAGGGTTGGTGAAGATCTTTTCTCAGTCTATAGGCTGTCATTTTGTTCTGTTGACTGTGTCCTTCAACCAAAGAATGGATAAAGAAATTCACACAATCAAATACTACTCAGCTATTAAAAACAAGAAAATCATGAAATTTGCAGGCAAATGATGGAACTCGAAAAGATCATGCTGAGTGAGGTAACCCAGACCCAGAAAGACATGCATGGTATATACTTCTAAGTGATATTTGATATTAGCCATACAGTATAGGATAAACATACTAAAATCTACATACCTAAAGAAGCTAAGCAACAAGAAGGACCCTAGGGAAGATGCTTAATTCTCATTCAGAAGTGAAAACAAGATAGACAATGGAGGCAGAAGTGATAGAAGAGAGGGAACAGGACTGGAGCCTGCCAGAGATGTCCTTTAAAAGACTCTACCCAGCAGGGAATCAAAGCAGATGCAGAGACTCACAGCCAAACTTTAGACAGAGCACAGGGAGTCTTATGGAAAAAGGAGGCTATAAAAGGACCCAGAGGGAACAGGAGCCACACAAGAAGACCAATAAAGAAGAAAAAATAGAAAAAAGCAGGCCCACCAGGAACTGCAGAGATGGATGCAACTACCAAAGAACATACACAGAGAGCTCCTAGAGCCTCTGCTCAGATGTAGCCAACACACAGCTCAGTCTCCATTTGGGTTCCCTAGTAAAGGGAGAAGAGACAGTCTCTGACATGAACTCAGTTGCCTGCTCCTTGATCACTTCACCCTGGTGGGGTGACCTAGCCAGCTCAAAGAGGAAGAGGATCCAGGCAGTCCTGATGGGACCTGATAGGCTATGGTCAGACAGTAGGGGAGGAGGACTTCCTCTATCAGTGGACTAGGAAAGAGGAATAGGGGAGGAAGAGGAAGGAAGGGTGGGACTGGGAGGAGATGAGGGAGAGGACTACCACTGGGATACAAAGTGAATAAATTGTAAATAATAATAATAATACTAATTTAAGAAAAAAAGAAACTTTCTAGATGCTTATTTTGGAATGTGGGGAAAATGGAGTTTGAAAAGATTCTTTTCTGGGTTCTGTGGACAAAGTATACTTATAAAGCTTAATAAATGCAAGCTCTAGATAACCAGTGGCCATAAACTATCAGCCTATCCTGGGTAGCATGTAACAAAAGTTTCACAAAGTAAATTCACCTACTCTAATGCAGGGTTCCTTTGCAGAAGCTTAGTGGAATAGAGAGGAGCAAAAGCTGAAACAATGAACATTGTCCAATGAGTATACAAAACTACATGCAGCCACCACAGCAACCAAGCAGAGGAGTGAACTGAAGCTAGCCTTCAGTTTTGTTATCTGCAATGAGAAGTTCTGCCTGGTTAGCAGAAGCACCCTCTGGATTAAGTACTCACGTTCACGTCACCTCCAGACACTGACTTCAAGGGGTCCTCATCACTGTCTGTACCCGACAGACCGAGATGCTCAGCCTAGAACACAGACATGCACCCCACCATCAACTCCAGGGGAAAACAAACTGCAACAGAGCAGGCATACCTTGCAGCTACTAAGGCAAACAACACCAAAATGGCCACACTTTCAGGCAGTGTAGACTGCAGAGTCCATACTCATTCTTTCACCTTATGAACTAGAATGCTGTTTCAAAACAGCTCTTAAGCAAAGCACTCCCTCATTTCGAAATCACACCACTGATCCACAACTCATGGGGAAAAAAAAAACAAACTTATTTTTGCCTCTTTTTTTGTTGTTCTTTTCTCAAAGAATTTCTTTAATTTTGAAAATATTCAACTTAAAAATAGCAGTGTCCATCAACTGACAAAGTTACATCAGCAAATCAACTGATTAACTAGGCTTTGAAGATTTCAAGGTTTTAATCTCTATGTAGTTAATGCATTGAGTGTTCACATAAACCATTTCCCAAACAGCTGAGTCCCTCTCTATCTATAAAACACAAACAACAATATACCAATGGTCACACAATCAGGTAGGGAGAGCTAACTGGAAAATTCAATTCCTTGGCCTCCTAATGAGAATCTGGGGGCATAACCTAAGAATTCACACTTTTCAATTAGATCTTAAAATGACACTTAGGAATGTTTTGAAAACAACCAATTTAAGAGAATAAATGACATTAAAAGTGATGTAGGAATTAGAAAATTAAAATATAAAACATTTGCCCTCACTTGCTTCAGCCAAAATTATTTCCCTTTATATACTTTATTGACATTTCTACAAACATAAGTCATTTAGTCATCTATATACACCCACACATATTCTTCCAAAAGGCAATATACTAAAATATTACTTCAGTTTGAATGCTTTCTTAAGTCTCCATTCTTAGATTTTATTCTATACTGAGGCATCCACTTGCCTGTCATCACATCACAGGATTTTAAAGTTACTTACTCAATATGCTTTTAATAGATTAAAGAAACTGAAAGTCACACTTTGCTAAGCATCGTACAATGTGAACCAGCGATTAACATAAAGGACTTGGGTGTTAATTCTAGCACTGACTAAATTACAAAGGCACGAGCTGCTTGGCCATATTGATGTGCCTGTAGGATGTAATGACAATTCTCTCTCAGTTTTTTAGGAACACTAGGCATGGGTGCATTTAGCATGCAAAAATCTCCAACTATAACAAGGAGAGAGGGAAAGTGCAAGAAAGCGTATGCATAACATACACACACAGAGTAATAAATGAAAGATGAGGAGCACAAAAAGGGAAAATGACTCTAGAAGTCCAACACAGAAAAAAGAAGCTACTGCATAAGGAAATGTTCTTATAATGAACAGAGCAAACTGTGTAGTACAAGTGACTCTTTCACTGAAAGGTCCCAGGTTCCTGGTGTCTGTCCTTCCTAACTGTCAAAAGCTACAGGTTCTCCAAACCCCAAGCTTTGGCAGTTGCCTTGCTGGCTAAACTAAATGCACTCCTACCCCTTTATTTTACTTTATTTGCAGGGGATTGCCTCCCAGTGAGGGAGTTGCAGAATCAGCAAGATCTAAGGTAAGGGGTGGGGAAGGGGAGTTTTGTTATGAACTGGTGACCAAGGGGACGACAGAAAACACAGTCCCAGCAAGCTCATCTAAACAATACCAGGAACAAAAACACAATTAAGAATCCTAAAGAATTCTGCTTCTTTAACTTCATTTATACTTGACATGAAAGAAAAGAGTCCAGGAACGGAAGGGGGAGAATAGGAGGAGGGGGTGAACTACTTGAACTACCTAAGGCTAAAAAGAGCTCACTAATGAGACATACCCTGAGCACAAATTTTCAAAGAGCGCAGAAGAACATGAAAAAGAACACAAAATATATAATTATACAGCCCATTCTTCAGAAATCAGAATGAGGAAACCATTACAAGGTTTCAGGAGGAAGGAAGACTAGGCATAGTTCAAGACATGAGGGTTTTGCTGTTCCATGTCTGGAATTCCACGCAACTTATGTCTAGTAGAAGAAGCTGGTTGCCTCTACAGCTGGGCAGAACTCAGTGAAGTTCAGGGATGCTTGGCAAAGCACCTTCTAAGATTTGCCACCTTCACCATCAAGCATAGGGTAAATCATAGTACTAAGGCTGCAGGTTGCAGAAGGAAGGTTCAGGACACCCCTGGGCAGAACAGAGTTGCAGGTTTATGAAGCGGAGCTGAGAGACTTCCTCTCTTCTTATAGAACTATACAGGTGGAGAGCCTGTCCCAGCTGAGAGAGTGGTGTTACTGTCAATTATTTCTATTAATCTTTTCTTTTGAAAAACAAATATATGTATGGCATATGTGTGTCTTACATATACATTTTCCTGGCTTTTCACAGGAGCTGGAGAAGCAAACACTCCTCTTACTCACTGAGCCACTACTTTAGTTTCAGCTTTCTATTTTTAAGCCATATTTATCAGCAAGGAACACATAATATGTGTTTGTAAAATACACTTACTAAAAGTGTATTGTTCTTTGCCAGATAATTAGAAGGCATCCATGATTTTGATTTTCTTGTAACTGAATACAAAAAAACCCTTCATTTTATGATTTTAAATTATTGTACAATATTGCTTCTATATTGTGAATATAAAGACTTATTTAATAAAGAATAGCAAGATAAAAGCAAGTAACTGATAGTGTTCTGAAATCTCACATCATGTTATAAAGGTAAAAAAAAAACATTTTAAAACTACAGAAAATGGGCCAGTTCAAGAATAGATACAAATGGTTTTGATGAAACCCCTCTAGACTTCCTACCTTAAGCTGGAAAGCTATGATCATTTGCAGGGACACTGACCATGATATTTAAACTTAACAATGCAAGATTCACTCATCCCTATATCCAACAGCTGTGTGCTGAGCTTTGAGTCATGCTGTATGAGTGTGGACACCTAACCGGGTGTGGCTTCCTTGCTTGGCTTGGGGAGGCCAGAGGTTTTCAATTCTACCAGTGAGTAAACACCTTCATATTAAATAACTGCCTTAAGCTCTGGTGAAGAATCAGTATTACCAAACAGAATTACTTTAAAAAATCTCGAGATAGGTAGGATCAGTAGAAATATTGTGAGAAACTCTTTTGTACCCCACATTGTCCCAGCGTGTGACTCACCTTACTGCTGCTCCTTTTATTAACTTTGAAAAACCCCAGAAATTTTTTCTTCTCTTTATCTGTCTCATCATTGCCAAGTGATGACTTCCTGAACATTTCTGGAGGTGAAAAAAAAAAGTAGTACTGTTATTTTTTTTTTCAGCATTTGAAACATGAGATTAAGTACTTCACTTGTTAAAACCTTAACTGAATCCTTTAATCTGTTTGCTGTAAGAAGAAAATCATCGCGATTTCCTTCAAAGCCTTCCGAGCCACCTCAAAGCCCTCTGGCCCAAAGGAAATCACATGAAGTTCTTACAGAGGTTTTTAGTGACTAAGGTGGCATTTTCTCTGAGAGTGGCTTTGTTCTTGTGGAAGATGAAAAGAACCAACTCAATGAAAGCTCAATAGGGATGCTTTTCAAGAGAAGGCTAGTGCAAACTGTCATTTTGCATTTTCTAGTAGCTGCACTAAAAAATAAAAGTGAGCTTTAATTATAATTTTATCTAATTGAAAATAATTAAAATGTTATTGTTTTACCATAGCCAATATGAATGAGACTCACCGCTTACACTTGCTTTGGTCCTGAGTCTATGAAGGCAGTGTTCATATGAGGCTGACAGTGTTTGTCCATTTTGACTACTTAAATTTCTGAGAGCAATAGATGGTCTGTTGCTACCCAATCAAACCGCATTGCTCCAAGGGCTGTGATATCAGTTTAAAAGAACCCCAACACTTTGTCTTATAAGGTATAAGTAAGATAAAAATGCTAAATAAATCATGAAGCCTCTGTTCTTTCCTAGAGCATGGAGGAACAGTGAAAAAGACTGCTTGGTTACCGTTTAAACCGGATATCTGGGGATACTGGTCATAACTGTCTCCATAACCCTTTTTCTATATTTAATTTAAAATTTGATTTTTTTATGTGTATGAGTATTTCCCTACAATAAATGCCTGTGTACTAGGTTGCATGCCTGATGTCTACATCAAGTCCCCCACAAGTGGAGTTCCAGATGTTTGGGAGCAGCATATACACTCTGGGAGCCAACCCCAGGTCCTCTGAGAGAGCAGTAAGTGCTCCTAACCACTGAGCTCTTTCCAGTCCCAGATTATTTCCTTTTTAAGATGACATTCTCCTATTTGCCTATTCTGGGCTTTCATTCACCATACCCTTCTCTTCCAAGACATAAAGATATGGCAGAGTTGAGAAAAACAAAACCAAAAACAAAACAGCTATTTGTAAAGGGTAAAAAGATCAATTTTCCCAGCTCAATCTGCAGGACAACCAAACAGCTAGACCACTGGTGGGTATTCTTTCTTACAGGATCTGACAAACTGATATGAGTATATTAACCCAAATTCAGCAAACAACCATTAATATTTGTATCTAATGATGTATGGCTTCATATCTAATCTTAAAAAGAACATAAAAATCAATGTATTTAAAAAATATGTACAAAATAACACTGTCTACTCAAAAAAGCCAAATCCAGGCCCAGTGGTTCTTAAACCATCCTGCAGGAAACAAAGCCTTTGTCCTGTTTGGGCAGGTCAGGGCACTTAATGACATGCAAGGGGCTTAGATAAGGAGATTAGTGGGCTCTGCATCACACAGCAACTGAACCAGAGGACTGGCTCACATGACAGAGCTGTACAGATACATATGCACACACATAATTATAAGTTAGTCACATCAAAACCCTCAGTGAAGAACTAGAAAGAAAAAAAAATCTTACACCACAAAATAATATATCCAAACTATGGCATGCATTAACATGTATATTTCTAGTTTATACTAGTTTTACAATTGAATGGTATATGACAAGGATATTTTAAAATTGTAGAAACCCAGAGATAAACAAGAAAGAAAATGCTTGGCTATCATAGGCCATCCTACAGTAACCATCAGCAAGCTAAATCTTTTGTTTCTCTCCCAGAATATAAAATTACTGGTCACAGCACTGAGGCCATCCCATGGAGAAGGGTTCTGATGACCCTGGCACCAGAACCATAGTGTTTGGAGAGGTGACTTCCCATGCTACTACCTAACAACTGTATGGCAAAGTAGGGCCTCAATCTTCAGCCCCAACATGGGCCTCAAGCTGCTGGAATGTGTTCTAAAGGCTTTGCCTATGGATTGGTCAGAGACTTATAAGAAGCTGCTGATTGTAGGTGAATGCCTTAGAAAGGTAAGAGCAAAGCAAGAGAGAGCTCTGCATTGTCATCAAGCTAAGTCTCCGTAGACAGCTAGGCTGTCCCACCAGGGCAATGAGCTGTGAAAACACAGATTCCCTGCAGAGCATGTGCTTTAGGAGCTGGAATCACAGCTCTAAATGGATGTCATCTATGGGAGCATGACACTTACTTTCAAGGCTCACATTTAATTGCCAACAAAGCAATTACTATTTGGACACATCAGTGTTGGAGATGCTGATAAAGGCATGAGAGGTAGAGAAAGTGAAAGGACCCGAGAATATAGTCCAAAGCGCCTCTTGGTTTAGATGGAAAAATAGAAATTAGGCAGTTCTGTGACCAGAAACAGGCCACTGAAGAAGTTACTGGAAGAACATGGTCCCACATGGTCCATGTGGGCATTCTCACCCATTGCCCGTCTCTAAGGTACAGCACCCATCACTAGACTCTAGACATAGTGTAGTCAAGGAAGAGGCAGTAAGAGCCTCAGTCTGCCCAAATCCCCAAGGAGAATCTCCCAGAATGTCTAAAGCAGTCATGTGCATGAGTGTCCTTGTCCTTAAAGGAGACTTTCTTGTGTGCGAATTCTGTTGACAAAGCAGGTCAGCTGTGGGCTGGTAAAGGGGACCACTCAGCCCAGCATTCAGACAATCTATCACAGACTGGGACTTATGTAAATGCTGCATTTTGTTTCACTAATTATTTTTTAAATAAATCTTCTATCAAACACTTTTTTTGCAAAAATGACAAACTTCCTGCCAAATATAAAAACTCATTGCAATATTCACTTTTTAGCGTGTGTGTGTATATATGTATACATATATATATGTATATATGTATATATATATATACACATATAAACATATATATACATATATATGTATATATATGTATATATATACATATATACATATATACACACATATAAACATATATATACATATATATATATACATATATATACACACATATGTTTATATGGGTATGTATAAACTCTAAAAGGCTCATTAAAATCACACTTCATATGTGTGATTTTATATATATGCTTACACAAATATGTACAAATACATGCACATAAATATATTTACCCCCTCTTTATATATATGTGTATGCACATTTATACAACATAGACTTTCCAAATCAGTGCCAAGTTTGAACTAACCCTTTGCATACCTATACTACTATGATATATAGGGTTCAATTTCAAGCCCATTGCCAATACATACTCTGCAGCAGGTAGGATAGACCTGGGCAGGAAGTACAAAAGTAAGAACAAGAGACAAGCTGAGGCAGTGGGAACTGCTGTTATTTCTGTACACATCACTATCATCTGAAATTCTGAGCTATGAATTTCCTGTCTTCAACACTCTCAGCTATTTCTATGGACTAAAGTCACATAGCAAATTCTCACACAAGGTATAGTCTTCTCTAAAAAACAAACAAACAAAACAAAACAAAAAAAAAAAAAACCCGGGGAACTAAAAACTTAAATCATAACCTCATATCAAACCAGCAAGCCCCCTCCCATCTCCAAGGTGCCTCAAGCTAAACTCAGTTCCTTTGAGGTCTGACATACATTATCACCTCCGTGCACCCTCCCATCTGGAGCCATGCAGAGTGCAGCCTGTGAGCTCACTGTACCTTGACAGCTCAGGGAAGGCTCAGACTGCGTTTTGGTCAGAAGAACTGGAAAAGGCAGGCAATGAGAAAATAAGAACAGCTTGGAGGTCTGCAGCAGCCCAGACCAAACATCTAACTACTCCCCCAGCCTCAACTGTAGGTTACATCATCCACAGAAGCAACAAGGAGTATATGCAGAGCTGGCCTGTATCTCCAGACCGTGCCTCCTAGCCTCAGCACAGGCTGCTAGGCCTGCTGTGAGCACAGGGGGCAGCAGAGCCTTGGGATTCTTCAAGCTGAGCCTTCAGACAGCAGAGGCATTGGGCGGTGGCAGCACTTACCATCTTGCTGCTGCCTCCCTTTTCTCCAGCAGCTGCAGGGCTGAGAAAAAGGCAGCTACTTCCTGCTCCCTGCCTTCTTGCAAAGCCCCCCCCCCCCCCACACACGATGGCTGCCCTGCTGGTCAGCTTCAAAAGAAAAGGTCCGCAAAGGACACCCTCTAGAAAATTCTTTCTTCTTAGGTGTTTGATGGTCAGCAGGATGAGGTAAAGACTCCTGGCAGGATGGTAGCCAAGGACATCAAAAGAGGGGGTAGTACAGGTGAAAGGCATCCAGTTGGCCTTGGGCTTGGAGGCCTCCTCACCGTGGGGTGGGGAAATACATTGCCATGACAGTGATTTGGGTACTCTGGGTCTTTGGAATATCTAGTTCCAGTCAAGAGCAGAAATGTTAATTGGCTACATATCCTGTTCTGAAGCTTTCCATGCCATTAGAGAGCTGTGCTCAGTGTCCTGGCCCTGCTGAAGGCTTCAGTTTCCATGTCTCAGATAACTGTGAGCAGTGGAGCTTCTCCTTAACAGAGAGGCAGGCTTGTATGACTTCTCCAGGAAGCAGTTCAACTTCTGTTCTTCAAGATATGTCCAAGCTTGCTGTGTCACAGAAGGCTAAATGTGCAAGCCTTTCACTCTCGTTCCTAAACATAGGGCAGTTTTTCTTTTTCCTTCCTGATTTCTTTCTTTCTTTTCTATCATTGTTTCTTTCTTTCTCTTTTTTCATTTTTCTTTCTTTCTTTCTTTCTTTCTTTCTTTCTTTCTTTCTTTCTTT